CAGACAAAACTAGAGAATCTGTCATTTATTGATCAAGTCCTGGTTTATTTGGGCTGATTTCCACAGAGGTTGTGGTTTGGCTCCCTAACCACCTTTTGGGGTCAATTTTCTATTTTTGTACTTTGTACTTTTATAAAATCAATGCTTCATCTTCAAATATGCTCTGCTACTCAGAACTTATAGCTTCTCTTTAGTCTTCATTCCCTAAATTGCCACTGTCCATTTCATGTGCTGAATGAGCAGCTACTTTCTAGGCATTAAATTTATTAGTTTTAACTAATCTTGAATCTTTCTGTGTTATTATTTAAATCTTTATTATGAAATAAAATACATCTTTTAAAAAAATGTGTTTGGTTGTTACAGGGCCCCACTATACAGCTTGGAATTGTGGTGATCCTCTTGCTTTCAGCCTCTGCAGTGCTGGGATTACAGCTTTGTTCTTGACATGTTTCCTGACACTAAATAGTCTTCCTAATTTTAAATAAGATGATAGATAATTTAATTTAAGTTTATTTTACTGGCAGTGAGAAAAGAATACTATTATATGGCTTTGTATAATTGCATACATTATGTGGTCATCTGTGTGCCTTCATGTTCCATCAATTTTTCAACTGGATAAGTTTTTAATTCCTTTAAGGGCCCTTATATCTAAATTTTTTTATATCTAAATATTTTTACTCCAATCTTTGTTTTACCATCTGTCCTTTGCTTTTGTGTATGGCCTTATAAAGTTGTGTTATTAAATGTTTCCATTTTTCTACTGATTTGAATTTGTGTTGTGAGGTTAAATTCTTGCTTGTTTTGCTAAGCTTTTTTCTTTTTAATAAAATCCTCCTATTTTAGTTATACAAAATATAATTGGAAGATACTGATCTATAAAGTATTTCTTTTTTATATACTTGGTTGTCTCAGATGGATCAATAATATTTTGGGGTTGGAACCCTTAAGGATTTCTGAGTATTTTTTAGTGTTATGAAGAAAGAAATAGGAAACCACAGAGTTGTTAGCTACTGAGAGAACTGTCTTCTTAAGAAGAGAACAGTCTGCTAGACTCACTTTTATCTTCTTTCTCAAAACAATATTTGACTTGACACCCAATCTTAGCATTAATTGCTTTAGCTCAGAAGTCCGGGAAAAACAGAAACAAAATTGTGGAACAAAATTGTGAGCAACATATGAGTCTGGGGACAAAACAATGCCGTGTTTAGGCTCAGACTATGTGTAAGCACTATGTTTAGAAATACATTGGTCTCCTGATGGAAGCATTTGAAGGGAGTAATTGGATATAGACAACGTAGACTATGGAGTGAATTGATAATCACAGATAAAAAGAGACACAAAGATGCTCTTCTCCTTGGTTTGTTCTTTTAGTGAATCTGGTTGCTTTTCAGAAGGTCTTATTGTTTTCACAAGGTCTTATTGTGCTATTGTTGATTCTGTTCTCACAGTGTGATCCTGGCCTTTCTTTATGTTTACCGATGTTTTCCCAAGTTAGTAAGAAGGCAATCTTTTCCCAGAAGCATAGCTTGTTGGCTTCTTTGTGTTTGTGTTCAAACTTGTTTCAAAACAGAGCAGAAAAATGTTTTTGGTTTCCAACTTCCTATTTAGTATTCTCTGCTAGATGACAACTAGTGCAAAGAATAGTCACCTTATTTCCCTTCAAAGTTCATATCTTCATGTCCTTTTCCAACAGCTGCTGTTGTTCAGCAAGCTGATAATCTCTTTGGAAATTAGTTATTTAGCATTGGATAGGTAAGCCACTCTTTTATTGTCCTGCGTGAATATAACCTTGATTCCACCTTCAGCCTCTCTGTCTCCTTGGACATGTGTCTTAGTATGTTAGTGCTGCGAAAGCAACCATGGAACGTGGGAAGTCCAAGGTCCAAACTCCAAAATATTTGATACCCAGTGAGGTCTCATTTCCTGGTTCAAAGATGTCCATGTTTTCTTTGTGTCCCCACATAGCAAAAGGGGCAAGGAAGTTCTCAGGGAGCTCCTTTATTGAGTAAGTCCCATTCTTCAATGCTCTGCTCCCAAGGCCTAATGCCTCCCCCACACTCCTCTTTTAAACACCCTCCTATAGAAGATCATATTTCAATATATGTTTATATACGGGACACAAATATTCATATCATAGCAACACCCATGGCCGAAGAGCTCCACACCCTCAATCTCTTGTCACTTTAATCTGGCTGAGGGTGAAGGACAAGTTACAATGGCCCAAATAATTTAGACAATCATGCAAGCTTTTATTTTTCTTCTATTAAACAACACAGAGAGGAAAATAATACATTAGATTGTGATCCAAAATCTTTAAATGCAAGAAATTCTTTGTACTCCTAATAAGAGTCCACAAATTATGTGACCTATCTGGGGCATATGAGATTTCATCTCAAGACAGATTGCTATTCACTATTAAGAACTCCAGATCTACCTTAACCACTTCTTGTCTGTGACAATGATCATTAGAAAGATTTTTCTGGTGAAACCATGGCTCAGTCTAGAGAAATTTACTTAGATAAAAATTTTATTCTTTCTTCCATCTCCTTGGAATTTGTCCTTATGGTGTTTCCAAACTCTATCATGCTGATCTGTAAAGCCAACAGGTATTAAAGAGCCAAAGTTTATCTTTAAAATATAAATAAAATGATCACTGTAAGGAAGAAAAAGCACAACTTAACCTTTCAATATTGCACTGTTTCATTCATATGACGTATTTATTTAAGTCATAATATGTGCAGTACTATGGCATGTGGTAGGAACGTATCAGAAGGAATATTAGTGACTATAGTTGAGTAGTATTGCTCTTCCTACCTACTGGGTATTAAGCAAAGTTCATTCTATGCATCGTTTCATAAAATCCTGAAATGAACCTTATAATCAGATGCTTTTATAGTCTCTATGCAAAGAGAAGGAAATGAGGTTTACAGAGATTGGATAACTTGTCTAAGAGCATACTACTAACAGGATCAAAGCTGGTATTTAAACTTAGTATACTTTCTACTTTTAATTGTTTCCTCTTATTTCTATATGCAGCAGAAATTATCCAGTCCCCTGATGGGCCATACAGTCTGAGTTGGAGAATACTGAGCTTACAGAACAAACCTTCTAAATAAACTCAGGAAAAAAGTGAAGTGCCTACTTCTTAGCAGATTTTAGTCTGGTTACGTGTACTCAGTTTAAGGAGGTTGATGGGTTGATGCAGACTTCTGATCATCTCTAATCAAATTTATCCTGAGTCCCTTTTCTGTCTTCATCCTAGCATCTTTTGCCTTGTCCTTCTGCTCTCTCTTTCTTCTCTGAGAGTCCTCTTCTCCACACCTGTCTATTTTACCTCATCCCACGTCGATAATTAACAGGGTCCCCAAATGCAATGCAATAGAGTCTAGGAGGAAACCATGGGAAAGAAAGACACTTCACTGCAAAGGAAATGAGCTTTTGATGGATGGCTTCGTACCCCTAGCATTTCTTCTTTAGCATATCCTGGCATTTGAGGGACAGAGAATTCCAAAAGCACATCCACTCCATTCTGCTGTTGTTAATCTAATTTTTCCCCATGATTAACAACCCAGTTCATTATGTTTTCAGCTCACATTAATCATCTCTTTTGCAAGTTTGGTAACATTTGGAGTTATTTCCCTCTGTATTTATCCATCTGGGATCTTTATGACAGATAAGTTTTCAGAAAGTCATTTGGTGCTTGTGCACAAAGTCTTTTGATGCTCAATGCTGAAAGAGAGAATGTTCTTAGATCAGAGAGGAAAAGTTCTGAAAGCCAGTACAAATTCCCTTCATCAGATAGAGGAGCCCTACACCCAGGCACTCACCTTGGACCAAGACCCACAGTACAAGATATTAGGCTACAATAAAACATCAGAGAGCACCAAAAGCAGGGGATAATGGGTCCTGACTATCCTCATAGAGCAGATGGGATCGGAAGAGAGCAGTGGGGGTAGTGGGAAGAGTTGCGAGATTAATGAGTCAGAATACTTTGGCTGGAGTCCTGTCTTTATACCTACAAGCTGTTTGACCTTGGGAAAATCATAGAAACTCTATCCACTCATCTTTGTGGAATGGTCCCAAAGATGTGCCTCTCTTCTGTATACCAGAAGGTAGTTCTGAAGGTTAATTATATTGTCATCTTTTAAAGAGTTTTATCATATTGTTTTTATCATCTAATTTTGTTGTTTCTGTGGCTCTTTCATATGTAACTAAATATCGAATGGGGATGTCTCAGAGGCTAGTACTTCTTAATTGTCTTCTTATATTAAAAAAGTCTTATAAGTATGTGTCATATTTGACAATCTGCTGGGGAGAGAAATGCTGTTCAGAGAACATAGAGAATCCTTTGGAAATCCAGTTATAAGCATCTCAAGGGGGATAATATAATCTCAGGAGGTGATAAGGGAAGCAACTCTTCTGGACTTACTGTCTTCCCCTAGCAACATTATGTTGTGATGGTTCGAATGCATTCGCTTATTTCTTAAATCAAGTAAGATGTTCCTTTAGAGACAACATTCCAAATTGGGCATCTATTCAAAAGCCATGACAGATATTCTTGTCTGTGGTCATTAACCATGAAATATCGGCATTATTGCTTATTGCTTCCCAAGTCAGTGGTGAATTACATGAATGCATTTGTTTCTGTAGGAAGGATGAAAGACATAATTAAATTTTATTTGTGTTAAATGTAAAAAGGCTCCAGAAGAGGAGTTGTGGAGTTGAGAGAAATTGAGACTATTTGTTCTCATGCTGCACAGCTCTCAGCAAGGTGACCAAATTTGGGGTTATTGTCACTTTTCACAGTCTTCTTTCCTCTAGCACCTGGGATTTGAGCAGGAGATTCCCATTATACAGATAATTCCCCGTGGCATGAATGGAAATTACCTGCATGACTAACCTCTGTGCTGTATACAATGCCAGATGGGTGAGAACTCTTTTAATTGCAATGAACCTCCCATTGCAGAGGAACTAATTGCATCTGCTTCCCTTTCCTCTAGGTTCCCCGGCAAAGACAGGACTGATGAAGAGATGCTTGCATTAGCTGCAACCTTTTGAGTCACGCAAAAAGGAAATCGACGTGTGGACAGAGCTGGAACCATTGCCACACTTGTTGGAATAAATGAGGAATGGACTTGTGATTATGCTGACATTCCAGCATGAATCTGGTAGACCTGTGGTTAACTCGTTCCCTCTCCATGTGTCTCCTTCTACAAAGTTTTGTTCTTATGATACTGTGCTTTCATTCAGCCAGTATGTGTCCCAAGGGCTGTCTTTGTTCTTCCTCTGGGGGTTTAAATGTCACCTGTAGCAATGCAAATCTCAAGGAAATACCTAGAGATCTTCCTCCTGAAACAGTCTTGCTGTATCTGGACTCCAATCAGATTACATCTATCCCCAATGAGATTTTTAAGGACCTCCATCAACTGAGAGTTCTCAACCTGTCCAAAAATGGTATTGAGTTTATCGACGAGCATGCCTTCAAGGGAGTAGCTGAGACTTTGCAGACTCTAGACTTGTCTGACAACCGGATTCAAAGTGTACACAAAAATGCCTTCAATAACCTGAAGGCTCGGGCCAGAATTGCCAACAACCCATGGCACTGTGACTGTACTCTACAGCAAGTTCTGAGGAGCATGGCATCCAATCATGAGACAGCCCACAACGTGATCTGTAAGACTTCTGTGTTGGATGAACACGCCGGGAGACCATTTCTCAATGCTGCCAATGACGCTGACCTTTGTAACCTTCCTAAAAAAACTACAGATTATGCCATGCTGGTCACTATGTTTGGCTGGTTCACCATGGTGATCTCATATGTGGTATATTATGTGAGGCAAAATCAGGAGGATGCCCGGAGACACCTTGAGTACTTGAAATCCTTGCCAAGCAGGCAAAAGAAAGCAGATGAACCTGATGACATTAGCACTGTGGTATAATGTTTAAGCTGACTTGCTTTGAAAGAAAGTAGTTTGCAATTGCAGTAGTATAAGTGGTTTACTTCTCCCATCCATTCTAAACATCGAAAACTTTGTATTTCAGTTTCTTTCTACTTATGCCACTGTTGAACTTTTAACATAACAAATAATTTTAGTTTAGGTGACCTACCCCCTTAACCATACCCCTGGTGGTATATTCCTGAGTAACCTATTATCAAAATATTAGTTAGAACCATCTCACTATTTAATAATGAAATTTATTTTTTTAATTTAAAACCAAATAAAAGCTTAACTTTGAACCATGGAAAACAGAGTGACTTATTGGTCAAGCAAACGGTACTTTCATTCCATTCACTTTAAAGAAAAACAGACTGCCGTGTAAACCCAAGGAACCATCATAAGGAAAGATATGTTATTAAGTCTTACGGTACACTGGGAAGCCATAGAAGAATTATTGTCCAGTTAAAGTATCTTTCAGACTTTAACACACTGAAACTTAACACACCCAGGTGACTATACAAGTTTGGTGCCCTGCTGATATTGAAGGTGGAATGTGTTTTGGCATTTGCTTTTTGGAAGCAGATGTTTTTAGCTGTAAAGACCAGATGCGTATTGAAATTTTTAATCTGTGCTAAACACAGGGAAAAGGAAAAGGTAGCATGTAGTCCTCAAGGTTACTTTCCAGGGGACAGGAGTATAAAACAAAAACCGGCTTAGCTGTTCTAAAAGAGGTCTTAATAACAATGTAGCATCAACCATGTGAAAGCTTCTAAGGCATTTTGAAACTGTTATTATCTCTGAACTTCAAATACAAGAGAAGGTAGTGACCATTACCCCATTTACATAAGAGAAACTACAAGTGAAAGTGATTCCATGACTTGCCAGGTAGAAAGTATTTAGAACTTGAATTTGAACCAGTTCTGTCTCCAAAGATTGCAGTGCCCTCATTACAGTCTTATTGAGCTCCTTCATGGAGGTGCAATGTACATGTCACAAGAGGTGGCCACACTAAATGTACAGCTCTGTGAATTTGAGAAATCTGTGTACCTGTGCATCTGTCACACAATCAAGATGTTGTGTCCCTGTCATAGGTTAGAGGTAGAGAAAAGTGTATTTTTCTTGGAGTAGGGCATTATGTTTTGTTTTGTTGTTTTCCTTTAGCTTTAAGATGTTATGACAGATGATTCATGACACTCGAGTGGAAACACAAAAGGTGAAGATATGGACAAGATATAAAAGCAGAAGACGCAAAGGATAAAACCATAAAGTGTTAATTGGGATGAAGTAGTGTATGCAGAGGGACAGTGAGGGACATGTGGGGAATGAAATAGTGCAGGTGTAGATTTCATATTTAGGAATAATAGTAATTTATTATCAAATATCATTTATGAAACATTTAGTGTGCACCAAGTACTATCTTTGGATTGCCTGAATCCTTATGATTACCCTATGATAAAGTCTTTTAAGGATGAGGAATTGGAGATAAGAGTTATAAGTAATGTTCAGTATTCAAGTGCTTATATGGGTTATTGAAGACATTAAATCTTGGTCAGTCAACACTAGAATCTATAGACCTCTCAACCACTGAACTCACTGTACTAGCCTTATTGGCAGACTTTGCTAATGATGTTACTGGTTCCTCCGTCCTATGGGTTTGCAGTCTCCTACATAATAGTATTTAAACATAGCAGCAAAAATAACCCATTGTGATGCATGCATGGGAAAGATCCTCTGACCTCTTGAAGTACACAACTTTCTCCAACAAATATGTACCTATCTTTTGACTTCCAAGAAATCACATCTCTGCCCTTGAAAAGTCAGAGTTCCTATATGTGGCAATAATCTATTTAAGGATTTATTGGAGGGGCACAGCAAACCAGGATGTTGAGCCAGACATTCAGAGCAAGGTTCAGGACATGAAATTTAGGACCATTAGTATTTCATATTCCCAAAGTGTTGGGATCCTCTCTAAAAACCTGAGACAACCTCCAATGAATTTGTGAAATTCATTACAATGGTTCTAGAAATTCTCCATTCCAGGAAGAAGAAAGTTCAGACTGTATGTTTTTACTCACTGGATTCGAGCACCTTCCAGGGATGATGGAGCTCTGCTGAAGATTTAACGCCCCCTGGAGGACAATATTATAATATATTTTTGTAAGTACAATGCAAAAAAATGCATAACTGAACTGATTGTAGTTTTCCCCCAAAGAACAAGACAATCAAGCCTTTGCTAAGACAATTAGTTAAAATATTAAATAAACTGTGCTACTTTAAAATGTGAGTCACATTTATCTTAGAAAATCTTCCACAAATAGGATAATCTATTCCAGGTTTTTCCTTCCAAAATAGTCTATATTTTTACTACTTTTATTTATTTATTTTTCATTTTTTTTTGGCAGAACTGGGGGTTGAACTCAGGCCATTGTGCTTGCCAAGGAAGCCCTTATTCCACTGAGCCATCTCCCTGGCCCTACTACTTTTATTTTGATCTGTTTGTTTCTTCATCTTCTAAAACCTTGAAGACGTTTATATTCATGGTAAGGTACCTGTTTAGGACTGGAAAGTTTTTAAAGTTATTTTATCAGTACATGCTTGGAGAACACAATGATTACTTTCCTCAGTGCAAGTGTCTAACCCATCTTTTTGTTCCCATTCCTCTCCCCTCTCTCTATCTCTTGGTTTCTTTTCTTTTTGCAAAACATCAATCACACTATTTCCTATTATCTACCTTTCATTTTGCTCTTTATTTATATTCTGAATTTATGTGAGAGAAACTATGTCACAAAGATTTTGAAAATTACCATCTTATTATCTGAAGTGCGTAGACTCTCACTTCCTAAATATTTTAAATAATTGTGCTTTTTATCTCAAATTCTTCCATTGGAATCAGTCTTTTAATCACACCTTTTTAAATTCAAGCATACCTGCAAATTTTAGTCTAACTTTTAATGATATGCTTATCTGTGAAGCAAGGAAAAAATCCATAAAATATGCCAATTCAACTGGAACATTTTTTAAGAAAGTGATAAAAAATTACGTAATGGAAGATTTAACATTCAAGCACACTTTGGCAAATTGTAATATCCTGCTATACAAATCTGCAAGGTATGCAGTGTTCTTTTTTCTGTTCTGATTCATTATAGTAATTCTTGTTGTCAAATCTCAAACATAAGGCACTTAGGGATGTGGATTAGTTTTCCTTATTGGCTCAAGAGTTTCAATGCAACAGGAAGCTTGCTCATGTATCTGGCAGATCTGGGTGAATGAAAATTCTGCTCAATTAATGTTCATGTCACTGAAGATAGGTGATCTCTTGGAATGTCAGGGAAAGAAGAGTCCTAGGGGTGATTTCATTCACTTATTTTACATGTTTTAAAATTGAAGCCGTTGTAGGATTAATGTCTAGCACCTAGTGCACCTCCAGGTTCCCTCCCCAAATTCCCTGACAGTACAAGAATGGCTTCTTCTGATAAATTGTTCCCAAAGCATCTAGAAACAGAAAAGATAATAATGTACGCTACGAAATTGTCAATGGCTGTGACCAAGTATCTCTGAGTAATCAAAAGGCAAGTAAGGTACTTACATTGCCACAGGTTTATCAAAGATACTTATGATTCTAAAATAATAAGTGTTCCTTCAAAATATGCTGAGAGAATACCTTTAGATTTACAAATTGCCCCCATTTTGGTAACATTTTCAGAACTATAGATGGCCTGGATTCCCAGGGGACAGATGGAGAAAATTATACTGGTGCAACTTCCCAGAGATCCAGAGGTGATGAGCATTTGTGTCTTTAAATAACAACATAAACCGTGAGCTTTCCAGGGCAGCCTTGCTGCTGGGAGCAGAGGAACTGCTCTTAAATGATGCCTTTCTCCTTCACCTGAGCTCTTACAAGCTGGCTTCCAAAAGTTGCATAACTGATGTATCCAGTTAGCTGGGTTTGACCTAGAAAAGTCAAACTGGATGCAAACTCAATTACCACACAGTTATGGTAATTTGTAACATTCTCCAACTATTTCTCAAATCCATAGAGGTGCATGAGAATTCAGGGAGAAGGAAGATTTACATTCTTTGCCCCAAAGTTTCCCACATTCATAATATGGGTGGCCCAGAGTTACTGCATGATTCAGTGGAGCACACAGAACTGTCCAGGATACTGTTGGAGGACTTTGCCTTCCAGCTCAGGAAACTTAGGCTCTTGAGGCCACAAGATGGACATACAGTCCCATAGTTTTTGAGTGGGTGACAGTAAAAAGGAAAATAGCTACTTTTTATGGCTCTTTTTTTTTTGTATTTAGTACAGATTCTATAGGGTCTCACTACATAGATCTGACTTGTAGTGATTCTCCTGTTTTCAGCCTCCCAAGTGCTGGGATTACAGGCATGTGCCACCACACCCAGTCTCAATTCAATTGCCCTCTCAGTGCACCCCAGGAGCGGGACCAGCATGGCACACCAGGGATTGAACTCAGGCTGCTGCGCTCTGCTTAAGCAGGTGCTTTAGTCCACTGAGCTATCTGGCCAGCCCTTATGGCTCTAATTTTGTCAACATTAAAAGAATTATAAGCTAGTATGAATTTCTTAAAAATGTGTGTGTGTGTGTGTGTGTGTGTGTGTGTTATGTATTCACATGTACATTGGAGAATCAGAGGTAGTTCAGTTCTGAAACATGAGGAAACAAGTTACTAGGAACACTGAACACAAAGTTTACCTGTGAGTCGGGGATGGTGAGGTTTTTAGGTTTTTGAGAAAATTAGTACAGGTATTTTTAAGGCTGTCCTCAAGATCAATGAAAACATTTACAGCTGTGACTAAGAGCAACAGAATTCATTAACTTCATGAGCTGTGTTCCTTGTAAGGCTGACAGATATTCTGCATTTGCTCAGTACTTTCAAAAAAGAATCAATGCATTTTCTTTATTTTTTTTTGTAGGAGTCCAGGCATCCAGATGACAGATGTTCTCTGGTTCTGACCTTAAAAGCTAGGCCTGAAATGAGTACATTATGGATCGCTCTAGGTTTGAACCAAAACCTCATGGTTTTTTCTATGATTTTTTTTTTCTTTCAGACAAGAGTTTATAAAGTGGAAAACAATCTGAAATTTGGATGTTGATCAAAGCATTAGCAAGCTATCCTTTGAGCTAATGACACTGATTGTTGAACAGATTTTAAAATAATACTGTCCCTAGGAGGTAAGATGGGGTTAATGCAAACAAATCTACCCTCCTGGGAATTGTCTATATTTCTTCTGAAGGAAAATATCTGAAAGATAGTGGTCTTCTCTCAAAGTCTTTCATCCTCACA